AGGGACCTGTGGGTGCCCAGGGTGGTGCTGTACTCTCTCCGTCTCCCGGCGGAAGTGGCGGCGAGGCTTCTGAGACGCAGCCGCCCACGCGCAGCGGCGAGGCCTCCGACCCACAGCTCGGGCACGTCGGTGATGGTATTGTATTGGTACGCGTGGGCATTGCAGTGGCATAGGATGTGCGTATGGTACTGCGTTGGTGCTGCAGTTGCATTCGTACTCAGTTGGCCTTGTATGTGGGCGCCTCTGGCCAATCGTTGTATTGGTACTGTGTTGGTATAGCATCGGCATAGGATGTGGAAGGAGATGGAGGCAGGGAGGGAGAAGGGAACGGGAGGAGAAATGAGGGGGAGGAGGAGAGAGGAATCGGAACAGAGAGAGAGAGAGAGACGGAGAGACAGAAATAAACACAGAAGGAGAAAGAGAAAGACAGAGGGACAGATAGAGAGAGAGAGAGAGAGAAAGAGAGACGCCCTAATGTGGTAATTTCTCCACGGCCCGCCCAAACTCAACACGAAAACGAAATCGCCCAAGTGGGGCGGGCCGGCCAGGGAGTCACCCGCTGAAACCAACTCTCCGAACGCCAGACAGAGGAATCGAAACAAAGAAAGAGAAATAGAGAGAGAGATAAAGAGAGAAGGATCGAGAGAGACAGAGACAGAAAAAAACAAAAAAGAGAAAGAGAGAGAGAGAGAGACACCCTAATTTGGTGATTTCTCCACGCTCCGCCCACGCGCTAGGAAGAAACGAGATCACCAAACTAGGGCGGGCCGGCCTGGAAATCGCCCGCTGAAGCCAGTAGTAAAAGACAGGATGAGAGAGAGAGAGAGATAGAGAAAGAGAACAACAACAAAAAACATTGAGAGAAAAAGACAGAGAGAGAGAAGGAGACAATGAGGGGAGGAGGGAGGATAAGGAAGAGGAGGGAGGATATAGGAGAGGGAGGAGAGTGGCTCAATCATGGACCTTGACCCCGAAGCCCAGGGGCCCCATATTGCGGCCGGGTTGAGGACCCACTCGGGCGCCCCGGGGCCGAGGAGGAAGGGACGGAGAAGGGAGGAGGGAGGAGAGGGAGGGACTGAGAAAGAGGAGAAGAAAAAGACCGAACCTCACTCCAGGCCCCTCCCCCTCCTCCTCCTTCTCCTCCTAGAACTCCAAACCAGTAATTTTCCATATCGCACCCCCCCTCCCCCAGAAGACGACGAGGTACAGCGGTAAGCACCAGAGCTGAGGCCAACGAGCTCGGCCAACGGTCGACAGGTGTTCGCCTGACGTGCGCGGCCCCTGTTCCCCTGACGGGCCACCCTGTTCCGCTGACGGGCCTCGCGATCTGCTGACGAGCCCGTGTTCCGATTGCGGAATTCTTCCCCTCCTGCTCCTGCTGCTTCCCAGTCCTCCTACTCTGGGGCTCTTGATAAGCGTGGGGGGGTACCCCCCGACGGGGGTCAACCTCGCCTCGTCGTCGCGCCGCGACGGGGGTCGGAGCGCCTTCGGCGCACGGCGGCTGCTCGTGACGGGGGTCGATGTGGGGCTGCCTGCGGGGGGACGCCTCCCCCCACGCTTATTAAGGCACGCGGAGTAGCCATCCTGAGGATGATGATGATGAAGGGGGCCCTGGGACACACAAATAAATACACACAAATAAGATCATTCCCCATATTTTCCTATATTTTCTGGGTTTCTGTCGTCCCCCCCACCGCCCATATTTTCAATTTTTTTCCTGGGATCGACGATCAATTGTCTGTGTGCTTGTGTTCCCTCCTGAGAGTAGCCATCCTGAGGATGACGAGGCGGAGCAGTCTCGCAGGGCACGGACGGCGCGAGAGTGGCGCGAACGCCCTCCGCCCCCGCTCCTCGAGCCCCTTTCCAACCCTTTGGAGCCCCAGGACTGTGGGACTGGTGGGACGGGGCCCACCGCTGCTCCCCAGACCTCTCCCTGGGGTGCGCTCTGACCAGAATTCCGGGGCGAACCCAGCGGTGGCGATGCGGGCCCCCGAGGAGGCCCCAAAAAGGGGAAAACGAGGGAAGGGTAGAGGTATGGGCCCCTTTTTGGAGTCCCGAAACGGTCCGGTGACAGACCGTGCCTCACCGCATGGTCCGTCAGCGCACGGTTTTGGGACCTCGGATGCCCCAGCCGCCCGAGACGTCCTCGGAGAACGGCCAGAGTCCCAAAACCGTGCTGGCACGGAGAATGAGGACGATGGCTACGGACGAACAAGGCGAAGTGGAGGGTGCGCAAGGGGTACGGAAACCCAGGTGAGCGCGGACGCCGGCTTGGTGCCTCACCCCCTCCACAGATAAGGGCCCCAGCAGACAGATCGAGCGCAGAAGCAGCCTGTACCGCTTGGCCCCACGAGGGGACTGGCCGCATCGACGCTCAGCACACAGAGGCCTCAGTGCGAAGGCCACGTTTGGGCCCAGAGGGGCAGCGTGCCCCCACTGGTGAGACCCCCTGGGCAAACAGAAGGCGAATCGAACAAGTAAGGAATGGCGCTGCCCCTACACTCGGAGCTCGAACCCGAGCTCCACTGCAGGATGTCGGGCCCTCAGCCCCGCAGGCAGTCGCATACCGCACCGTGGCCGATCCAGGCACTCAGCCCCGGAAGCTGGTCTGCACCTGAGGCGCAGCTGCCATTGGCTAAGGCCCGATCCGATCCACGGGCCGGCGGGTGCCGTTTTTCGGACCACGGGCGATCGAAAGAGCAGACATCGCACGCAGCAGCTGGCCGTGACCCAAAATTCGGAGGCACACTGGAGCTAGCGCATCGGCTTGGCGCCACAAATGCCGCGCGCCTGCACGCAGACCCTGTCGCGCAGTCCGCACAGATGACCTTGGACGAAGGACGCGGGCACACAAGAAAGGGATACTGCTGGCCACACTGAAAGCAAAACGCACAATGTCCCCCCGCGAACCAGATCGTCCCTACCACTGCATCTGACCACACCGGCTTAACCGATTGCCTCTGCTTACCTCGCTGGCCCGTACCCTCCTGCCGCGGATGAGGCAGGCAGGCGGGCAACTGTTGCCGTCTGTGGGCTGGCCCAAGGCTCCCCTCAGTGGCTCGAGCCCCCTTAGCGATCATGTGAGGACAGGGGATCGGGGACTGGGCAGGGAGGGAGACGAGGGGACCAGTGGAGGAGAGGAGAGGGCGAGAGGAGTGGGTGAGCGGAGAGGGGAGGAGAGGGGAGGGGGGAGGCGGGAGGGAGGGAAGGGCGGAGGGGGCAGACGATGCTCTGAGAAGTCGCACAGGGAGCGGTGGCGGAGCAGGAGTCGGGCGGTCTCTGGTCGGGGAGGGCTTCTCTTTGCGCTCCGCCCGAGAACGCGCGCTCGGGGCACGGCTGCTACCCCACGCAGCTCGGAGGATGGCTTAAGCGCTTGCAGGCAACATCTTAACCCCAGGAATAGCGAGGGCGGGAGGAAAGGAGACGGAAGAAAAAATGGCAAAGTAACAAGACAGTGTGCCCAGACTGCACACGAGCATGCTGGAGCCCTGCTTGGTGAAATGCATGGTGAAGAGCAACTGCTCAACATGAGCAACAATTCAGGTGATCGGTTCCAGCTGAATATTCGTAAGTACAAAACTGCATATACATACCAAATTGCATGTCACCCAGGGCAATGCAATTCCAGAAAGACCCGCAAATTATCCCCCCACCCCCACTGGGGCCACAGGAACTCAGAATGACTGAGTCCTTGTTCCGAAGACCTAAATTGACATCAGCTCAAGGCGTCCAAGGGTCTCCGTGAATGAGCCCTGGGAAAATCCCTACGACACCCCTTGCCATCCTCCCGCCCTCCACTGCCCTCCCTGTACCGTCCCTCCCTCCCTTGCCCTCCCCTGCAACTTGTCGGGATGTCTGCGGGCCCGTCTGGAATAGCGCCCCGAAAGTGCCGACCAGCGTGATATAGTTATTGTGGCGCCGCGTGGGTGGGGTATAATTATGCAACGAAAACAAAAGCCCCATTGTATGCCCCACCCACGAATCTACCCCACCCGCGGAAGAATAATTTCGAAGCCGGCGCGGACGCGGGAGATCCGTCGTGGACTGCTCCGCCTGGAACGCCCAGGTACTCCGAAATCAGGGGAGGCTGGGAATAACTCACTATTTGTCATTGGTTTACGCGATGCAGGTTGTCATGCGACGCGCGGGGCAAGTAAACGCATGTCGCTCTGCAAAGGCACAGGGGACCGAAATAGGCTTTACACAAGGATCAAAGCCACTCAGAAAACGTACCTGCCTGGGGGTGGGTGTCATATCTTGGACACGTGTTCACAAGCAGCACCTGAGTTTGTTGCTCACCAGCACGGAGCTGCTTATGAGCACACCTGGGGAACTACTCCGACTGGTTGCGAAATAAAGAACATGTGTTAGCCAGCGTGGACCCCAACCGGTGAGTTCATGCACTGTGCAGGTAGATGTTATACCTATCTATATATAGAAACATATATACATGAGTTCGGAGTACATTTGTTGTGTGAGCTGTGTGGTGCGAGCTACGTTGAGTAAACCATGCGCTGTGCGATGTGCCCAGTGTGGTGTAAGCTGTGCTGCGCAAGCTGCCCAGCGCCAGCTGTGCGAAAGGGGCCGTGCCGTGCAAGCTGCGCCACCCGCCCGGGGCACGGGGCGCCCCACGAGCCGCCCTCGAGGCGCCCACGTGGCGGGCACCCGGCGACACCTCGGCGGACCCACGCGAGGCACGAGGCGCCCACGAGGCGCCCACGAGGCGCCCACGAGGCGCCCACGAGGCGCCCACGGGGCGCCCACGGGGCGGGCACCAGGCGAAGCCTCGGCGCACCCGCCCAGAGCACGGGGGCGCCCGCGAGGCGCCCACGGGGCGGGCACGAGGCGCCCACGAGGCGCCCACGAGGCGCCCACGAGCGCGAGACACTGCCGCGGAGCCACCCAGGCCTCGGGGCGCCCACGGGCGCCGGCGAGGCGCCCACGGGCGGACCCACACGGGGCACGGGGCGCCCTCGAGCGCCCCTGGGCGCGGGCGCGGCGAGAGCTCGGCGGAGCCGCCGACTTACTTGGAAGCCGAAGTGGGAAGCCCCGGGTGCAAGCGTCGGTTGGAGGGCACGTCTGGGAACGGCACGCGGCCAAATGAAGCAGGAAAGCAAGCGGACAACGAGAACACGAAATATGACAACAAGCAGTTGTTGAGTTCAAGTTTCGTTGGCTTTCCACGACGTGACGCACCGACAGCACAGCCAGAACCATGATTCAGAAAATGCTAGTTTGAGACATCCAGGGTAGCTTTCTGGCAGAGCCTTGGTTAGACGCAAAGCCAGCGTTGCGCGTACCGCCTCGCGCGTGAGAGGGGGGAATGAAAACTGGGCTGGATGCCCAGCAGCTGCCGACGGAATGCTGGGCCAAGGCGAAGAAAAGACTTTCCGCAAGACCAGCGTAAAACTGTAAAACGAAAAGGGTGGAGAAGCAGACTGAAGACGTGCCGGAAAGCGGAATCGTTGTTAAATTAGCATGCGCACCGACGCAGCAGGGCTGGTGCCAACTGGCCGGCCGCAGTAAGTCACCACGCGGCGGCCTGATTACGCCGCGAGTCAACACCATTGGCGATTAATTCGCCGCGCCTCGCCGCGCCGGTTTGCTGCGTCGCGCAGTCAATGCGCGCACGCCGCAAATCTTGACGAATCGCCCGCATCGCAGCGGCAGCTCAAAGGCTGCCGCGGCCCCTATCGCCAACTTGTGCTCTCCTCCACTCCTTCCCTTCCATCCTCTCCTCTCCTCCATTCCTTCCCCCTCCCGTCCCTCCCATCCTCTCCTCTCTTCTCCTCTCCTCTCTTCCACTCCTTCCCTTTCATCCTCTTCTCTCCTCTCCTCTCCTTTCTTTCCCCTCCCTTCCATCCTCTCCTCTCGGCACCTCCCTTCCATCCTCTCCTCCATTCCGTCCCCCTTCCTCTGCGTTCCCCTGGCCTTCACCTGGCTAGAATATGATTCTGGCTCGGGCCCCGGCGGAATCTGGGCCCGCACCCCCGACCTCTGGTCGCAGGTGAAGGTCTGGGCCTTCGCCTCCCCCCCTCCCCTCCCTCACCCCCCCCCCGCCCTTCCGCTTCCACTCTTCCCCGCCCGCCCTCCCTCCTCCCCCCAGGGCGAGGGAGGGGGGAGGGATGGAGGCGCGCGAAGCGCGGGACAGTGGGGCTGAGCCGAGCCAGCTCTCAAGCCACGCCGGTCGCACGAGGGCGGGCCCGTCAAGGGCGCGAGGGGGAATATTAGGCGCCTCCTCCTCCTCCTCCTCCTCTTCCTCCTCCTCCTCTTCCTCCTCCTCCTCCTCCTCCTCCTCCGCCTCCTCCTCCTCCTCCTCCCTCCTCCTCCCCTCCTCCTCCTCCTCCTCCTCCGCCTCCTCCTCCTCCTCTTTCTTCTCCTCCTCCTCCTCTCCTCCTCCTCCTCCTCCTCCTCTTCCTCCTCCTCCTCTTCCTCCTCCTCCTTCCTCTTCTCATCCTCCTCCTCCTCCTCCTCCAGCTCCTTCGCCGTGACGTCGTCCGCCCCACGGCGGACCAAAGGCAGGAGCCGACGAGCCAGAGAGGAGGGAAGGATGAGGAGGAGGAGGTAAGGAGGAGGAGGAGGAGGAGGAGGAGGAGGAGGAGGAGGAGGAGGAGGAGGAGGAGGAGGAGGAGGAGGAGGAGGGGGTAGAGGCGAGAGGGAGGAGCGGGAGCGAGGGAGACAGAGAGGGAGGAAAGACAGGGCGGCGGCTTGGCGAAGCCATGCGAGGAGAGCGGAAGGAAGCCCCTCGTGCGCCAAACGCGCTCCGTGTTCAGATGAGATAGGATCGGAGCGCATACGAGAGGACACGCGACAGGACACGAGACTCTTCCGACGGCAACATGGCCTCCAACAACCACAGGACACAAGGGTGTCCTCAGTCCGAAGAAGCAGAGGACATGAAAGGAGATGGACAGGACACAAGAGCAACCTTGATTTTGCAGGGTCGACGTGCCAATGCGCGCCGACCGTAGGATCCGAAGCTCAAGGGACAACTGCTCCTGTGCAGAACTCTGGGGAAGCTCCCGTCCCAGCTGCATATGCCGACGCCACTTGGCGCGGCCGCCTGCCGGCCGCGGCCCGATGTGATCCGCGGGGCAGAACGCACGAGGACGCCCCATGCGAGCGCGAGCCCGGCGGCGTCCAGTCCAAGGCTCCCCGCGCCCGCCGCTCGGGAGGCAAACGCGCAACGCAGGCTGCAGCAACGCAGCATTTCTTCAAGGAGCCTCTCAACCGCGCGCGAGCGCCATGTCCCGTCCATGTGTGGCGGCCCCTCTCGTACCACGGATGAGGATCTCGTGCCAAAGTTGAGGCTGGTCGTCCAGGCCTGCAGGCGGGCCAGCCAACGACTTGCTGCAACCATCGCCAGGATTTAACGCGTACATTATATGATGGGTCACTGCGTGATTTTCGTTTTCCGCACACCAGCTCCGAAGCGCGATGCTGACGCCACGACGCGACCGAACAAAACTCAAGGCGGGCACTTAGAGACAGATTCTGGTCGCATACTACGACCTTTTGTTGCAAATAATGCTGCAGATGCTGCTTCCGGGTGATACTCCACGTCCAACTTGCGCGTTCCAGAATCACCAACGGCCAGCATGCATCCCAACCGCTTGAGGGCGGCACTCCAGGGTATCACTTGAACCACCCAGGGAAGCGCGAAGTCTAGCCGGGGTCTGCCTAAGACTCCACGCCGGAGCCCACGAAGATGGCGACAATTCCGCAGGCGGTAGCCCCCCTGGCAACCGCGAGGTCTCCGCTGGGTGCAAGCAAGACTCCACCCAACTGGGCCTCCCAGGAGCCTATGAAAATGGCGACAATTCCGCAGATGGTAGCCGCCAGGGGGCCGCGAGGACTCGATTGGGTGCTCGTAGGACTCCACTCGGCTAGGCCTCCCGGACACCCTCAAACAAATGATAACAATTGTATGCCCCCCAAGGAGCCGCGAGGTCCCGCCGCGATAATTCTGCGGGTGGCAGCCCCCCAGGTAGCCGCGAGGCATCGCTTTGGTGAGCGCAGGACTCCTCACAGCAGGGCCTCCCAGGAGCCCACGAAATGGGCGACAATTGGTAGCCCCCCAGGGAGCCGCGAGGTCTCGTCTGCGTGCACGTAGGATTCCACCCACTCAGCAGGACCTCCCAGGAGCCCACACTGGTGGCGACAGCTGCGAGCGGCGGGATCTCGATTGGACGTCGGGGGGACCCCACTCCGCTAGGCTTCCCTGGCGCCCATGAGAGTGGCGACAGCTCCGCAGATGACAAGGCCCCAGTGAGCCGCGAGGTCTCGGCTGGGTGCGCGAAGGACTCCGCCCCGCTGGGCCGCTCAGGAGCCCACGAAAGTGGTGACGGTTCCACAGCTGGCAGCCCCCCTGGCGGGCCGCGAGGTCTCGACTGGGCGCGCGTGGGAATCAGCTGCGGTGGGCCTCCCAGAAGCCCGCGAAAGTGGCGGCAGTGGGGCACACGGCAGCCCTCCAGGGAGCGAGAGAGGAAGCAGGCTGGAAGAATAAGGAGGAGAAGAAGAAGACGCGCGAGCAGAGCTACATTCAACACGAAGACCCAAGCAGAAAGAAGGTTGTGAAAACAACAACCGTTACGAGGACACAGCACAACTGGTTTGCAAAACGGGAGGCTCGCCTTAACGCCACGCACACTCGTCCTAAAACGTTACAACAACTTCGCTGATGAATGGTGGCTCACTTCCAACATTGCTTTAAACAGCTCCACGGTCACAAGGATTCGCTGTAATGGAATCCAATGAATGTGATATTCAAGTATTTGTGTTGTCAGGGCGCAACAATCACAGGGATTCGCGCACTTCTCTCCAATTCCAAGGATGGAGTTCCGGATCGATTTGGCGTTGTCAGGACGCAATATTCACATTGACCCGTTTGAGTAAAGATCCCAAGAAATCTGGAGCGCATGAAACTTGTCAGACGCTAATCTTCCAACGGGACACCTCCGCAATGAACACAAGTTCTTCGGGGGGCCTATGGGGAGGAAGCTTGGGACGGGAGGGTGCCTTGCCGCATCCGCATCGTCGCTGCGCATAGCGGTTCCACTGGCCCTCCTCCTCCTCCTCCCTCCTCCTCCCCCTCCATCCTCCTCCCCCCTCCTCCCTCCCTCCCCCCCCTCTCCTCCCTTCCTCCCCTCCCCCCCCCTCCCTCCCTCCCTTCCCCCTCCCTCCCCTGTCCCCCCTCTCTCCCTCCCTCCCTCCCCCCCTTCCTCCCCTCCCCCCTCTCTCCCTCCCTCCCTCCCCCCTTCCCTCCTCCCCCCCCTCCCTCCCCCCCTCCTCCCCCTCCCTCCCCCCTCCTTCCCTCCCCCCCTCCCTCCCCCCCTGGCTGGCCGAGACGGGGAGGCCGCGCCGCTCACGCGTCCACGTCGTCGAGCAGCGCGGCGCGCAGGCGCTCGTCGCCGCGCGTGTGCCGCACCACGAAGCCCCGGGCCGCCGCCCGCGTGGCCTCGTGCGGGCAGCCTGGGCGGGGCGCGCGCCGGGGGGGGGCCGGCGAGGGGGGGGCGGCCTGCTGGGAGCCCAGGCGGCGGCTCGGGCTCGGTTGGGCATGTCCTCCTGCTGGCGGGTTGGACTACCTGCCAGACCACCCCAACCCAACCCGGAGACCCGAATTTCGAGTTGGGGGGGGGGGGGTACGGGTTCCACGCGCGTTTTCTCTATGTTTCCCGACCCCCCCCCTACTAGAAATCGAGGGTAAATCTGAGCCTTCGGGTTGGGTTGGGGTAGTTTGGCAGGTGGTGAGGGTTTGGGGCGAGCAGTGGACCAAATGGTCGCAACATGGACATAAGAGCTGCCAGGAAGAATCGGGCAATCGTCACTGGGCTGTTCTTTTTCAGCTATTTTGGAACACCCCTCGCGTGCCCGACTCGAGGCTCGGGCGAGTCTGCGCCGGGTGCCCTCGCCATTTCTCCATGGGGTCGGGGTCTGCTTCCAGGGGGCCCTGGAGCCGATCAGAAAACGGCTGGTGCAGGACGGCAGAAGCCAGCCCTCGGGGATCAGGTCGGGAGCCCCGGGGGCTGGCGACCCCAAAAATCTGGAGTCGGCAAACGACTGCTGGGTCGCCAGCGGCCCGACCCGGCCTGGACAACGCCCAAGACCTCCAGCGTCGCGAGTATAGTCATCGTGCTACCCTGAGGGGCACAGAGTACAGTCGGGGCGTTGACCTAAGGAACCCTAAATAAGGAACGAGGCCCCTTTTTTTCCATAAGTTAAACTTCGACTTCCGATCGAAAACATGAGGAAAGCCTGAGGCAAGCTGTGAAACACTTAAGGAACATGGAGCCCCTCCCCAACGAAAAGGGTTCCTTCCTCAGGGCCCCGACTGTAGGGATCGAAGTTTTGAGCCACGGCGAACCTTGGCCACAAATGGGTTCCCCGACCCGGATCGACGGAACGGCCAGAAAACCAGAGCCCCTCCTGTGCCCGAAGTGGTCCTGAGAGGTCCCCAGGAGGCCCAATCAAGGCCCCAAGAGGCCCCTAGGAAGCCCGAAGGGACCCCCAAGAGGCTCCCAGGATGCCCCAAAGATGCTCCCAAGAGGCCCCCAAAACTGCCCCCCAAAGGCCTACGAGCGCGCTCCGAAGATGCCCCACGAAACATCCCTGGGGACTCTGCCCAACGTCAGCGTCGTCGTCGTCGCCGACGCCGCAGTCGTGGTCGTCGTCCCCCTTCAGGGTCGGCGGCACCTTCCCAATAGGTCCCCCGACCTGGATCTAAGGAACGGCCCGAAAACGAGAGCCTCTCCCAAGCCCGAAGTGGACAATATTTCAGCGCATGGGGACGAGCCCAACAAAACACCAAATTCTGGTGTTGGTCGGCAGGACGGCGCACGGAAAGGGCCACGGAAAGGGCTGGAGCGAAGGAATGCGGCCTTCAAAGAAGGCAGGGGGCCTCTTGGAAGGATCCTGCCCCTTGGTAGGAGCCTTCTGGGAAGGGCTCGGAATTATAAAAGCAGGAAGGCGGCTGACAAGAGGGGCGCCTTATTAGAAGACAGCGCCTCTCGCCCTGCTCTCCTGCGCGCTGCAAATGTTGTGGCCCTGGAGCAAGTGTCGAGTCCGAGAGCCGGCAAGAAACGGCCCGCGGCGAGAAGCCAGTCCTGGGGAAGGGGTCGACAAGGGCTCCAAGGCCCACGTCATGCAGAAATCACGACGGAGGTTTGGAGCCCTGGCGGCGGTCAATCGTGACCCACACGCGTTTGGGACCGGCTGGTCGGTTCCCACCCCAGTGCGTCCTGCGTCCGACACGTGCACATGCGTGGCTGGCGGTTTCGCTTACGGTTGCTGGTCCGCGGACACCACGAGAACCGAAGACACGGAGGAGAGGAAGGCAGTGGGCTTGCTGAGCATGGCCCCAGCAAGCAGAGGTGTAGGGAGGAGTCGCAAGATGCAGAGGACAGAAGCGTAAAATGCACCCTTCGAGCCCAAATGTCTTGCCTCAGCCACACTGAATACATATGCTGACGGTGATGCGGATACTCGGGGACGTCCAAGAGGGGGGGGGGGGGGGGGCGCAAATCATGGCCGGCGGCATGTGCGCGGCCCAGGGGGGGGCCCCGGACGTCTTGAAATAACAAGAGGCGCCATGAAATTTGGGCAGATATCATGGCCCCAGCCATGATATCCACACACGCACACCCCTAGTCATCACCCCCCTCCTTGCCGCCCCCGAGATACTGCAGCCGCGCACGCAGTCGGTACAGGAGGCTACATTAAACTGGGTTGTATCGGTGGCTAGTCCACAACAGCGACGGCGATGGTGGATGCCGGTGCGACGGCGACGGCAGGCAACCCCGCCACACGCGGGGATGTCTGCGCAAACGCTCCGAACAGAGCCTGATCAGACAAGAACCTTCCAGCGGGTATTCATGTCACCCCCGGGTGTAGCTACTGCAACCTGTGGACTGTGGACTTTGAGCACGCTGCTACTAGCACCTGTGGCGGGGAGCCAGTGCAGGACACGACGAACACCTGCGGACACCATGATGTGCACACACTATACGGCGCGCTTCTCTCTCCCTCTGTATATATATATGTGTGTGCATGAACATGTGGCTCCTCTCTGTCTCTCTTTCTCCCTCTCTCTCTCTGTACCTCTCTCTCTCCCTCTCTCGCTCCCTCGCTGGTTGTCCCTCTCTCCCGATATCTATAGTATAGCTCCCTCTCTTCACATATACGGATTGCTTCCTCGCGATGTCCCTCTGCTTTGAATGTCGCACCTGTTGCCTCATCACTACTCAATGCGTAGAGATGTCGAAATTACGCCGATGAGCAGACACTTGCGGGCACGGGTCCAGGTCGGAGTCGGAGTCTCAGATGGCAGTCTTATGTGGAACGTTTTGCTTGAGTGACCCCTACCACACTGCAAAGACAAGCAAAGCCCGATGAACAGCAATGTCTCGACCAGGGCCAGGGGGGAGGGGAAGAGGAAAGGGGGACAGGGCAGCCCGACATCCGAGGCCGTGAAGACCTCACGACGCCGACGCGAGCAGATCACGACCGGAACTCCCGACGCCCCCTGCGCGCGGCATCTCCCGACCCATCTCCACCCGCGAGGGCCCCAGAGCCCGGCACGGAGCCCGCAGCGCACGCCGTGACTTCTTCATGGCGCACGCAGACGTCCGAGGGACCCCGGGCCCGGGGCCCGGGGCGTGGCACCGCCGCCCGAGCGAGGCACCTCGCCAGGGCCCGCCGGGCACCTCGCAGGGAGGCCCTTCGGGTGGCCCCGCCGAGGCGGGGGTCCTGAGGGGCTTCTCGCGGGCCGGCCAGAGGCAGGAGGAGGGAGAGGAGATCCTGGAACTGGGGAGGGAGGAGAGGAGAGGAGAAGGGAGGGAGGAGGGGGTCATGAGGGACTACCTAGGACGAAAGCTTTGCGGTGAAAGCGGCGATGAGACGTCCGCGAGACAGCATCGGCGCCGCCGAACGCACGGCGTCTGGACGAGCTGTTTAGAGCAACCGGGAGGAGAGGTATGTAGTCATGTTGATGTGGGCCCGCGCGCGCAGAGAGTTGATGGAAGCGCGCGAGACAGCGCAGGACCCACCCTGAGAAATTGATAACCGAACTCCCCTCCCCCATCAAATCTCAACACGGGCGGGTTGCGGTTGCGGGGTCCGCGGATCCGAGTTTTTCCGGCTCCCCGTTTTTATTCAATAACACATATTTGAAACGAAGAGGAACATGGATTTGTGAAACAGATCAGGACGGAAATCGGACACACAACATCCGAAGTCGGATCCGCGCGGGCGCAAATCTGATCCACCGAAACTCAAATCAATACCAACATTGGATCCGACGGCGGTTATCTCATACGCGTCGGCTCAAGACTTCAGACCCAAAAGAAAACCTTTTGTCCTTAGGATGCATTTGGGACTAGCTGGTTAAGCACGATGCGCCGAAAAGAAAGAAAGAGCGGGAGAAAGAGAGAAAGAACAAGACCACCCAGGCCTTGCTTGACAAGCACAACTTCCAACTGAGCTGGCCCTCCTACTCTCTTGAGGTGGAGACAGGGATTAATGAGGAAGAACCGAGAGATGTTAGATGAGCAGGGAAAGGAGGAAGCGGAGGACAGAATATCTGGGAGTGAGAGGAGAAGAGAATACAATGAAAAGGACGAGCCGGAGAGGTTCGGAGCAACGGGAGGAAGACGAACGAGGGTGAGCATGAGAGGGAGGATGAAGAGGAGGAGGGACAACCGAGAACGAACTCATGGAACGCAGTCCAAAAAACTCCTCTCGATCAAACCGAAACTCGAGAAACAAGTCAACTACAGTCGAATGTATACAGCTCTGGGCTGTGTGCCTACGTACCCTCTGTTATAATGAACCTTGACCAGCGCCCACTGAAAGAAACAGCAGTAGGGAGGATGAAGGAGTCGGGGACCACGCATCCCCCGACGTCGCGAGTGCATTGCGGCCTTGGACGGTCAGTTCCACTTCCTCCACGCTTGTTTTGTCCTCTTCCTCCTCCTCCTCCTCCTCCTCCTCCTCCTCCTCCTCCTCTTCCTCCTCGCACGCTCCCCCCCCTCCCCTTCTCCCTGTCGCCTTCTCCTTCTCCCCCCCTGCCCCCCGCTCCTCCTCCTCCTCCTCCTCCTCCTCCTCCTCCTCCTCCTCCTCCTCCTCCTCCTCCTCCTCCTACAATTACACAATAATATGCACACTACTCTTCCGAGCGTGGCAGGAGGTCTCCCGCATCCCGTCCCGAACAGCACTTGCACTTACGGGCTCTTGCCGTTACTCCCTAAAGAACCGGATGGGTATTCCGGTTCTTCGCCACGTTGCGGCCCGTGCCGCCCCATGGGCGCCTCGTGGGCGCCCCGCGCTTGGGGGTTATGCCGAGGTTGCGTCACGCTGCCGCCACGTTGCCGCCTCGGGGGCGTCCCGCGCCGAGAGGGCATCCCGAGGTTGCCGCCACGCTGCCGCCACGTTGTCGCACGTGCTGCCTCGTGGTCGCCTCGTGGGCGCCCCGACGCCTGGGGGGCATACCGAGGCCGCGCCACGTTGCCGCCTCGTGGGCGACTCGCGGTGGCCCCGTGCGCCGGGTGGCCCTGGGTGGGTGTCCGAGGTTGCGGCGCGCTGCCGCCCGTGCCGTCGCTCGGGCGCCTCGCAGGCGCCGCGTGCCATGAGCTTACACGACGCGGATATAGCTGGCGCAACATAGCTGACACCACACATCTTGAATCATGCATGTGCAACTAGACAACCCACCCAACGCAGCTCACACCACATCGGGTCCTAATAGCGTTCACCGCCACCGTGCTGTAACGCACTGTTTGGGGCTCACGATGGCTAACATGTTTATGTAGAGGGGTTCAATCCGGTGGTTGATGACATGCTGTTTTCCCATTGGAAATGCTTCGGCATGTCAAAATGGTGTTCCCGCTGAAGCGTTGGCATCAGCTTCGGATTGGCGCCCCAGCGCGGGACACAATTCTGGATCCGAGTCCTTCCGCGTCGTTGTCACGCTGGCCCTTTCCGCTGCTCGACCGTCCCCTCGTCTTCCTGCTCCTCCAGCTCCTTGTATTCCTGCTCCTGCTGCTGTTGCTGCTGCTGCTCCTCGTGCTCCTCCTCCTTATCCTCATCCTCATCCTTCTCATCCTGCCTTATCCTCATTATATGATTCCTCCTGCTCATTTTCTTGCTCATCCGCTTCCCCCTCCTCCTCCAATGTACACAACTCCCCTTTCCTGATTGCGCATAGCACGATAGGGGTCCTTTGAGAGGCGCCACGTCCGCTAAGATACCCGTCGCGAATGGAGAAGAATAAGCGCAATGGGAAGGGATATGTGGGAGAAGCAGGATCAGGCGCACCTGACTTGCCTTCTCCCCCCTCTCCTCCTCCTCCTCCTCCTCCTCCTTCTCCTCCTTCTCCTCCTCCTCACTCCCTTACTCATATTATTCCCCCTTCTCTTTACTCCCCCTCCTACCGGTTTCTCTCTATATCCTCCGTCTTTCACATTCCCTCCTCCCCCTCATCGTGCTTCTCTTCCCCCCCGGCTCCGTCTCCAAGCTCACCCGCGAGGCCTTCTGGGCAAGTCGAAGACATGCCTGCGGTCGACGTGGCCCCTCCCCACTTGCCAAGTTTGGAGCCGTCCCTCGCCACCCTGGGCGCAGTGGTGATGGTACACCAGCGCTGCGGCCCGGAGCCGCCACGGCACCCGCGGGTGCATCAGCGCATCCCAGCGCCGCGACGAGAACAGGCTGCCTGACGCTCGAAGCAATTATTCTCAGAGAGGCGCAAAAGAGGTTGCCACGACGCCATCGAGGGGGGTCGCAGGGCAGCACGCAAGAGGAACAAATGATGCACTGTAGGGCAAGACCAACTATATACCTACACAGATCCGGGCCAAGCCAAGCCAGTCCTGAACCCTGGGTCGATGCTCACACCCCGCACGATAAGCCGGACGGGCATGTGCCATGTGTGGTGTGCAGACAGCGTATGCCGATGTGTATACATATATATATATAGAGAGAGATAAAAAGATGTCGATGTGGTTCTCATGCCATGCGATCAGCTAACAAACAACAAGCTAATCCGCCGCAACTTGAAATCAGGCCGGGGACGCTGGGTCGCGAGCGCCCTGGGCGGGCCCAAGAGGATCCCAGACGGCCCCACGGCGGCCGCAGAGAGGGCACCCGAAGAAACCGGCCCCGAAGAGACCCCCGAGACGAGCCAAGGACAGTCCAGCATGGCCGCAAGACGGCCAGGAGGAGGCAGGAAGAAAAAGAGATGAGGAAAGATGCTCCTCCTCTTTCTCCTAGGTCTCGTCCTCCTCTTCTGGACCTTCGGGGGCGGGGGGCTCGTGGGCACGTCCGGACGGTGATCGGAAACATGTCAGGTTGGAGCCCAGGCGGGTCAACGACAGGGTTCTGAGCGGGGTCGCCGGGAGTTGTATTGGACCAGCAGCATGATCCGACCATGGGTCAGACAGCAAGCGGTGGCAAACAACCAGTAGAATGCTAGCACAAATACTCAGCGCAGAATATTGGAAGAGTAGGGAGGGATGTGAATCCTCGTTCCTCCCTCGCTCCCGCAGAAGCCAGTTCCTCGAGAAGAGGAGCACGGGCGGCGCTAGCCGCTGCACCTGGTGGTGGGCCGTGGGCAGCGAGCGGGCCATCCGCAGCTCATCCATGTGCTCGGCCAGCTCGGCGTCGAGCGTCAGCCAGGTGGCCGGCGCGCAGCGAGTCCCGCTCACGACCTCCTCGACCCCGTGGATGTTCTCCTCGCCGGCCGTGAAGGCGACGAGACGCCCTGCGCTCGGCACCACCCTCGTTCTGGAGGCCTCCGCCCTATCCCACTCTGGCGCAAAGAAGAAGCTGCCGCCACTGAAATCGCCACTCTCGGGGCCGTGCAGGAAAAGGACCGCGCTGTGGCTTCGCCAGTGGAAAAAAAGGCGGCTCCCAGACACACTCAGTGCCTCGGAGGAAGCAGTTGTCCGCGTGGGCTGGGTGCGAGTCCGCCCTCCACGCCGTCCGCCTGTACGATGTCCACCCCTCGCCATCCAAGTCCCAGGCGCGCGCGAAGTGCACGGTCACCTGCTCTGCGGTGGGCCTTGCCAGCAAACGTGAAGCCCGCGCATCCGGGCATGCCCCCGCACCTGGCCTTCGCCTGCGGCACCGTCATGTCCTCCACCAGCAGAACGTCGCCGTCCTGGAGATATCCGCGGTACTCCACGAAGCCACCCAGGTCTGGGCCCTCCTGGCCCGCGTCCGCACTATGCGGCACGCCAGGTGCGCGAAGTCTAGCTGCAGCCCTGGCGCCCCGAAGCGCTCGACGACCGTTGCGGCAGCCACCTCCACGGCCTGCACGTACGCCTCGACCCACTGGACGGCCTCGGCGCGGAGAGCTGGTGGCTAGCGGACTGCCCAACCCGGCAGCGTCGGCGGGCGTCATGCCCGCAAAGCGCTCCCGGCTGGAAGGCGGCCGCTGGTTCCCGTCGTAGCCGTCGCCCGCCGCCGCCGCCGCCGGCGCCAGGCGCGCGAGCCTGGCCGACAGCTCGGGGGAGCGCGCGCCGTCCGCGACTGCGCGGCCCCCCGCCGCCCTGGGGGGGCCTCCCCCCCCGAGGGACGCGGCCGGCGTCGCCGAGCACGCCGCCCCCGCCGGGCCCTGCTGCGCGGGGCGCCCCGCGTCGCCAGCGTGCGCCGCCCTGGCCACCGCGGGGGCGGCCGCCCCCAGGGCCCGCAGTGGCCCAGGGCGCACTGCCCGCCGGCGTGCGGCCCACCGCGCCCTGAGGCACAGACCGCGCCGCGAGGCTCGGCGCGGCGCGGCGGCGCCGCGACGCGCGCCGGGCGCCCGCCACCGGGCCGCGCCCGATGCGGTCTCGCCGCTGCCCTACTGGAGGAACAGCTGGGTCCCCGCCTGGGAGGGGATGGAGCCAAAATGGCCACGGAAGAAGGATGCGGTTGCTGGTGGCTCGTTGCCCCCCCATCGTTGCCCCCCCCACACGTGGCCCCTCATCGTTGCCCCCCTCCACGTGTCTCCCCCCCCCGTGGACTGTGCAAAACTGCTTCGGGTCTTCTGCCGCAAGGCTGCCAATTGACGGCCCCGGACCCCGACAATGGCCTCCACGAGCCGACAAAGGGCAAGCAAAACGCCGCCTTGATGATGTTCTCAATGACAGTCGGGCAAGCGGGCAGCCAGGCCAGGCCGAGCTGTCGTAGCCTACGGCGGGCAGGCCTGGCGGGTTTTTGTTGGCTGCGCCCGCCCGGGATGACGAGGATTGGCTTGTTTTCCACCGCCACCACCATAAGTAGGAGGGGGGGATCCTCCTCCTCCTCCTCCTCCTCCTCCTCCTCCTCCTCCTCCTCCTCCACCACCTCCTTCCTCCCCCCACATCTTATGGTGGTGGTGGTGGTGGTGGTGGTGGTGGTGGTGGTGGTGGTGGTGGTGGTGGTGGTGGTGGTGGTGGTGGTGGTGGTGGTGGTAGTGGTGGAAAACAGGCCCATCAGAGGAAGGCTCATGAAGGCCAACGAGGAGGCAGCGCGTCTCCTGGGCGGGGTCCTCCTGGCTGACTGGCCTCCAGAGCCGGAACCTCCCCCTTAGGGCTGCAGTTCCACTGCGGACCGTGCTGCTTTGGCAATCGACAGAGGAGGAGGAGGAGGGAGGAGGAGGAGGAGGAGGAGGAGGACGACGAGGAGGAGGAGGAGGAGGAGGAGGAGGAGGAGGAGGAGGAGGAGGAGGAGGAGGAGGAGGAGGAGGAGGAGGAGGAGGAGGAGCGAGGAGGAGGAGCGAGGAGGAGGAGGAGGAGGAGCGAAGAGCGAGAAGAGAGGAAGGAAGGAGGAGGGAAGGGAGGAGGAACGAGGGAGGGAGGGAGAACGAGGGAGTAGGAACGAGGAAGGAGGCGAACTGCAGGAGGCGGTGCAGCTAACATGCGTACTAGGGCGAGCCAGTGCGCTCGGAGAAGCACGGGGATGGACCGAGGGCCTCCAGAAGCGCCACGGGTAAGGGGGCATACGCCGTTCGCTCGAGAAGGCCACGCAGCAGAGGGCGGCGGGAATCGTGCTTCGGGCTGCCGCGAGAGCTGCATCCTGGAACAACGCCGCGATCTACACGGAGCCTGGCGTCGATGGCCAACCCCCCCTAACCAGGTCTGCACGCGTGAAGCTCTCCGCGAGGTCGGGCACGCCCCGAGGGTGGCACGCACCAGGCGCCAGGAGATGGGTGCCGCGTCTCCGGAGGCCACGTCAAGCCATCGCGGGGGCCTGCCTACGAGAAGCTCGGAGGCAGGACTGCGAAACTCAGGGGCGGCAAGGCATCGGAGGACCGTGCCCTGCAAGCGAGGAAGCCCAAACAACGACGCGCAGGACGAGGAGGCGGAGGAGGAGGAGGAGGAGGAGGAGGAGGAGGAGGAGGAGAAGGCGGGGGAAGAGGAGGAGGAGGCGGCGGAGGAGAAGAAGGGGGAGGAGAAGGAGGAGGAGGAGCAGGAGGAGGAAGAGGAGGAGGATGACGAGGGGGAGGAGGAGGATTCCATTATGTTCTATTCTACCTAATTTGCGTGGCGACCTGCTGCAAGGCTGGGCACGCTGAGGCAAACTCACACATCAGGGAAACTGCCACCAGACTTCGGCGGCAATCCCCTCTTCAGTCGGCTAAGCACTTCATTGCCAGCTTTTGTAGGAGGCAAGCACTCAGACCTCAAGCTCTCTCCACACAATAGCACCCGCAGATTTCACAAAACAGGACTCCTCGGTATGTGGCTAGCTTGTGCGAGGCATGGCACAGCTCAGCCACTGGATGATCCAAACCCGCACCCACTCCCGCCTCCCGAGGCCCAAGGTCATCAGGAGGAGGTGAAGCCCCCCTGAGAGGAGGGACAGGTGCACGCCTAGCAGGGAGGGCCTGAATTCGCCGATATATCTCTGCACGGGGTTTACATAGACTTGGCCAGAATTCACAGGGATGTCCTCGACGACTGAAAGAGCGCGCACACAGACTGCACTTGAAAGACGGCGAGCGGAGTACACACTTGTGCCCACAATCTTGGAGCCTGCACATTCGCTCGGCCATTGAACGTACAGGCTGAAGGGTACGGACATCCCAACGCACTTTCGCACGGTCAGAGGTAAACAGAACTTCTCTCTGCACAGCCAGAAGACGGCCAAGAACCTTGAAACCCCGCTCATCGGCCAACAGAGTCCGACGGGCCTGGTCTTCTGACACCTGGCCAGCCTCAGCGGCCTTCCCCGCAAAGCAATCAGCAGATTTATGAAACAATACCTCAGTATCACTCATACACATGTGAAACGCCTGAGCCTGGGTGGGGTGACCTTTAGTCCAACGAACTTCAATCGTGCCGCCCCGAGCCCCCAGGACAATAGGATATTCTTTCCAGAGATCAAGCATGGACGACTTCACTTTAGCATGGAGGGGTCGTCGAGCACCTTTGACAACAGACATGTTGTCGCAATCAACTCTAACATTGCTAGTGGAGCGCCTCGCCAACTGCATAAGCGCATAAAATTCAGCACGGCCAGCGGACTGCACCTTAATTAACAATGACCCGCTTGCCACACCGTCGAAAGGCCAGCTGGACCTTGGTGGACAATGGCCCAGCCACAACGTCTCAAACTCCAATCTTTATGATTTTGTCCTCCGCTACCGTCGATCCCCCAAACACCACCGTGCACACAAGCTCCGCCACCCAAGGTACCCCACTCCCAAGAGAGATCCAGCGGACCACGGAGGTGACCCACGGATCTAAAAGCAGGAGGACTCGGGGAAACTTAAAGCTTCAGCTTTAAACGCATTGGAACGGTCGATCGCAGCATCGGGGATATCATCATTGCACCTGCATCGCCAGAAGCGGTGGGAGGAGGAGGAGGAGATGGAGGAGTAGGAGGAGGAAGAGGAGGAGGAGGAGGAGGAGAAGGAGAAGGAGGAGAAGGTAAACGAGGGGAAGAAGGAGGAGGAGGAGGTGAAGGAGGAGGAGAAGGAGGAGGAGGAGGAGGTGAAGGAGGAGGAGGAGGAGGAGGAGAAGGAAGAGGAGGATAAGGAGGTAGAGGAGGGGAAGGCACCTGGGCCAGGCCGAGCTGCCGTCACTTCGGACGTTCGGCCTCCCCCGCAGCCTGCGTCGTCGACGGGCCCGCGGCCCGCCCCGCGCTCGGCGCCGCCCGCTACGGCGGCAGCCCCGCCCGCGACCTGCCGGCGGGGCGAAGGCTGGCTTGGAGGGGGGAGGGAGCCGTCTCCTCCCTCGCTCCCTCCCTCGCTCCCTCCCTCCCCTCCCCTCCCCCCTCCGTCCCTCCCTCGCTCCCTCCCTCGCTCCCTCCCTCCCCCTCCCCTCCCCATCCCCTCCCCCCTCCCTCTCTCCCTCCCTCCCTCCCTCCCCCCCTTCCCTCCCCGCCGCTCTCCGCCCTCCCTCCCTCCCTCCCCGCCCTCCCTCCCTCCCGCCCCTCTCTCCCTCCTGATTCTTCCTGATTCCTCCTCCGCATGGCGCTGACGCTGGAGACTGCTCACTGTCTGTGCAGGCTGGCGCCGTCCATCGAAGCCACGGGCATGTTGCGTTGCGGCCGGTGGTCTCGGTTTGAAACGTAGGTCGGTTCGGCTGGCGATGGTCCGGCTGGCGATAAGGGGGGGGCACCCGGCGGTGAGGGAGAGCGAGGAGCGGGGGCGACACGAGGAGGAGCAAGAAGAGATAGGACGAGGAGGAGGCGAGGGGACGACGGAGCAGAGGCGGGCGAGGGAAGGGGGAAGGGAACCGCCAAGCCCCGAGGCCCTCAGAGCTCTTCCACGACGGTAGCAGAGGAAGAGGAGGAGGAGGAGGAGGAGGAGGACCAGGAGGAGGACCACGAGGAGGAGGAGGAGGAGGAGGAGGATGAGGAGGAGGAGCAGGAGAAGAGGGGAAAGCGGGCGGGGGAGGGGGAAGAGAGAAGGAGCTCTGGGGCAGTCTTGCAGGGCCAGGAGGGGGGTTCTCAGATGAAGGTTGTGCTGCTGTGCTCCTGGTCATCCGACCCCTTCCATCAACCCGCCCAATCCATCCTCCCCCACGGTGCCCAGGGCGCGGGCCTGGCGCGGCGCTGGTGGCAGACCCGTTTTTCATCCTCCCCTCCGCTCTAAAGAACCCTGCTCATCGAAACAGGCAAGGCCCGAGAGCCAGTAAGAAGCTTCGGCAGGGTTGGCCAGTGCGCAGGCCACGCATCACCCCGAAGGTGATGAGTCAATGCTCGAGGTTGAACGCTGCGCGCACCAGATGGCCGAACATGTATGATTCAGGTCCCCGTTCAGCGGCTGGTGCGAGCCCTTCTGGTGGAATGTTGGAACGCCTCTCTGGACTTGCCCTCAAGGGGGGCCGCAGGAGGCGGACTGTGGTCTGAAGTGTCGGAGGCGTCGCTGCTCGCTACTTCGGGCGCGCACGGAGTGCCAGGGATCCGGCGAGTGAGAGACTGCTGCTCTTAGGTTGGGCATGTCCCCATACAGGCGGATTCTGGAAGAAAAACCAAAAATGCCCCAAGCATTCTCAAAAACGATATCACTAATAATCAACAGATAGTCCCCAGACTATTGTTTTACTGTTTTTGAATCTTCCTCCTGTTGAGGGACACGCCCCACTTCATGCTGGTCCTCGGTTGCGTCCTCCGGAGCTGCCGGCTCCCCCGGGGAGGCCGCTGCTGGGCGCCGAGCCATCCGCTGGGGCCTGGCCTCCAAGGCAGTAGCGTCGGCGCACACCGCAGCGGGGGCAGCCGTGGGCAGCTCGGCCATGGCCACGGTGCACGGGTTCCCCCGGGGCCGTAAGCGACCCGAGGAGGAGAAGGAGGAGGAGGAGGAGGAGGAGGGAGGAGGAGGAGGAGAGGAGGAGGAGGAGGACGAGGAGGGAGGAGGGAGGAGGGAGGAGGGAGGAGGAGGAGGAGGAGGGAGGAGGGAGGAGGGAGGAGGGAGGAGGAGGATGAGGAGGAGGAGGAGAAGGAGGAGGAGGAGGAGGAGGAGGGAGGAAAAGGAGGAGGAGGAGGAGGAGGAGGAGGAGGGAGGAGGAGGAGGAGGGAGGAGGAGGGAGGAGGAGGAGGGAGGAGGAGGGAGGAGGAGGAGGACGAGGAGGACGGGTCGCCTAACCCCTTCGGGGCCACGGGACGCTGCGAGGCCGCCTTTCCTGCAGCGGCCGCTGCGTTGGGGGCTGCCTTGCGATCGGCAGCTGCTCGCAGGGTCTCCTCCGCCGCCTGCGCTAAGCGGTCCACTGACGGCAAGCATCGCTAGCCGCGGGCTGCCCAGCGGCCCGCATGTCCACCCCCTTGGGAAAATGCCCCCCAGGGCCCACCTCACGTGGTTTGCGTGAACTCGGGGTCCTGGGCACTCTGCCGGATCTGACTACCGCAATGCCTCCTCTGCATGGGCGTTCTGAACCTGCTGATGCTCCAAATCGGTGGCAAGCTCGTCGACCTTGCTGATGGCGGACATGTTGGCTGCGGGGCCAGCTACGGGCCTGGCCGAGGCTGGAGAGGCGGTGGGTCTGGCCCCGGCGGTGCGAGGTGCGCGAAGCAATGCCCACAGACGCAAGCTGTCTGGAAGTGCAGCCGGCGGTCTTGGAGTCAATGGCGCGGGGCTGGTCCGGCCGGCGGGGCGAAGTATCAACCAATGCGCCAAGGGTGCAGAGGGTGGCGTTCGAGGCGGCGACGAGGTCCTGGCTGGTCTTGGATCCCCTCATGGACCTCTTCCTTGGAGGCGGCGATTCTTGAATTGGCGGCGTCGGCAAACTCCGAAAAAACTGCTAATGGCAGGCAGGAGCTCTGGCGCGTCCTTCCGACGGCAGGTGGTCTTCTCTGGCTCGTGGGCCGTTATGTTCTCCGCATGGTCGTCCCAATCGTTACCACACTGCTGATCGCTCCATTGATTGCCCCATCCCTGACCCCGATAACGTTTCCATCCGTTGTCCCACTGATGCTATGGCTGCCGTGGTCCTGGCGGTTGGGCTGCTCGGCGCTGGCGTCGGCGACGTAGCTGGCATTCCAGTCGTGGTGGCAGTGCCCATGGGAGCCCTGCCAGCTCCTGCGATGGCGGGAGTTGGAGGTCGCCGTGCTGACGATGGTGCTGATGTCGCCCACCTGGCACGCCTCGCCCTGACGGGCAGCGTGGCAAAGCAGGCCGTCGGCAGCGCAGTTGGTGAGCGTTTTCTTATTCCGCGTTTCGACATTGGACGGGAGGGGGGGGGAGGGGGGGGGTCTGGCTCTGGAACTCTGCTTGGTCCCACTGGTTGCAGCAGTGCGTCCTGTGAGGGAGACCGCAGCTGCTCGAAACGGGTGCCAGAAACAACCAATATCTACTCCAGGGGGGGAGGGGGAGAACAAGAAATAAGAAACGATCACGTGGCCCTCGGCTGTCCCGAGGAGAGGGAGGAGGAGGAGGAGGAGGAGGAGGAGGAGGAGGAGGAGGAGGGAGGAGGAGGAGGAGGAGGAAGAGGAGGAGGAGAAGGAGAAGGAGGAGGAAAGGGAGGAGGAGGAGGAGGAGGAGAGGAGGAGGAGGAGGAGGACAAGGGAGAGGAGGAAGAAGGAGAGAGAGAGAGAGAGAGAGAGGACGAGGAGGAGGAGGAGGAGGAGGAGGGAGGGAGGAGGAGGAGGAGGGGAGGAGGAGGAGGAGGAGGAGGAGGAGGAGGAAGAGAAGGAATGAGGAATCGGAATCGGAATCGGCGCTTGGGGTTGCCGCTGCCAGACACTTGCAGCTCACTTGCACCCCTGCGGGTACGCTCATAGAGAGCGCCTGTGCTCGTCGGCCCTAAGGGCTGGCGTCACAGGCCTACTGCGCCCTCTTGCCTGTGCGTAACCAGGCGAAAGGTGCAGGTCCAGCAGGGGGGAGGGGGGGGGCGCACGCTTCGAGGCGCTAAAAAAGCGGGAGGGGGAGGCTGCCCGAGTCGCTCTGCGAGCGCCCCCCCCCCCCCCCCATACACGCCCCCGCTCCTGCACCCCGAGCTCGCTGCGTCGACAGCGGCGGCGGCTGCGGCAGGCGGGGCGGCCGCCATGGCACTTGTGGAACGGCCGCGAAAAGACGGCGGGACGATGAGGTGAGATAAGTCCCCTGGCACCTCGTGCCTGCGCCAGAGGCGCAGCCACACCCCAGCCCATGCTTACTGGCCCCCACTGGGGCCAGCGCAGGAGCAGGGCGGCACCAGGGCCTATCCCACTCTCGAGGGGGGGGGGGGGGGACAGGGCGAACCACGCACTCACTCTCCGACGCACGCTCACGCACCACGCGCACACGCGAAGGACCGCCCTAAGCCCCAGGGGGGGGGGGGGACGGGCGCCCCCCGCAGCGCGCCGAACTTCGTGCCCAGCACGCGCGCGGCCGCGGGCGCGTCTCTCTCTCAGCCCCCCCCCGCTCCAGTCCCCACACCTCTCCCCGCTCTGCCAACTAAAAAAAACAAGCAGGTGGCAAGCAATGCAAACAATGCAGGAGGCCTCATTTCTCTGCAAGCCTGACTGGTCGGTTTCTGGAGTCGTTGCCTTCATTATGGCGAAGCTCCTTAGTAGCCGAGAAGACTAAACCGAACCGCCCGCCCTCAAAAGCCGAACTCGATCGGGGCCTGCACTAGTTACTCTAGTGCGCAGCAGCGGGGGTCCAGGCCATCGTCGCGCTCTCGAGTGGGCGCTGAGCTGGTGGCAACATCATATCTCCAGTCAGTCTCAAAAACAATATGGAGCTGGATCAGAGAACTATCCAAGCCTTCCAGAGCGGCTGTGCGCCACGTTCGCATCTGGTGTCACCGAGCGACTGCCGCATCTCATCCATCATTGCAACAAAGAAAAGATTCCACTGCATCACGGACACGCTTCATTTCCTCCAGCTCAGCTGCACGCGCTGCTGCTGCACTCTGGCCAGTCTCAACTTCAGCAATACGGTCACTGAGTTTCTGGGACTGGCGTGCTGCTGCCCAGCGACTGTCGGTGAGGATGCCGAGCTGGGCTCCAAGCACAACGTTCGCGGCGTCAAATATGGACTTGCACCTCGTCACTTCCGCCACTGCCTCCATGGACGCTGCCTCAGGCGAACCTGCTGGCAATACACGAGTATCTTGAGCGGCCGAGCTGCCCTGAGTGGCCATCCCTGCCCGGCTGTCGGAAGTGCAAGCTGCACATCGGAATCAATAAGAAAATAAAACAGTCGCAGGTCTTGACCAGAATAGCTACATACGCTATGCCTCACGAAGCCCTATGTGTGAC